TGATTTCTCTAGAAATTATTTAACATGAACCAAAATGAAGGTGTCCAAAATGAATAATGTATTTTACATTCAGTCACTTGACCAAATTAATTAGCTATGTTATCATTTAGTTAATAATTCATTCATTTATTGTTTGGCCTCAATCCGCTCGTATGTGGACAACATGACCAATTATCTATTATACATTATATTATACATCAATTGCATAACACCGTTCCTGAGCGTCTGAGCACAATGTCACTGAGCACCTGCCCATTGTGAGCGCCTACCCCTTCTTACTTCGAAAATGTATTCTACTACAATAAGCCTATTATGCCCTGGCGGAGTCTACCCATACCGCCTAATTTTCATAATACTAAAAACTCATACTGCCCAATTATCCGTGCATGCAGATCACCTACGAATTGCAACCACTGAAGCATGGCGTCTCCCAGGAGTAGTCTTATTTAACCTACACTGCTGTTGTTAGGCACCAGCTGTTTAAAACAATACCCAATTAAGTAACTTCATTGTGAGATCTGAGATACATTCTCATGATAAATAGGATGGACACCTGTGTCAACTCCAAACAGTAACATGGTACTACCCAAGATGGATCTTTCTCTAAATGATTCCAGGGATAAACAAAAAATCAAACTTCTTTCTGGTACAACGTGAGAAATCACAAAATAAAGGCAAAACTCAACCAGTTACATTTCAAACCTCAGCTTCCAGCACTTACAAAGTAAAACAAAATAAAACCCACAAAAAAGTGGAAAACACAAACAAATCTAAAGCTGCAAGACGACTAAACTACTTAAAATTAAACCAACAATCAGTCAAGTGACCTGTACCAAACAATAGATGACAGCTCTTACAATCAACCCAACTTCAATACTTTGGTTGAGTTCATTACGGAAGTGGCACTTAGATCCACACCACACCCCCACAACCCACCCCCCACCACCCGTCTATATCTACAAACCTTGGAAGGAAATATCCTTACAATCTTCAGGCTAGATAAAAAAAATCAGAATATATACCAAAACACTGAAACAGTTTAAGAAGGCAGTAACTACGATTGTCTCACACTCCTACCTTCAAGGAGCTAAAAGACAAGGCTATTACCCCCGAAGACGCTAATATGGTATATACATCATCACTTTAATTTTTTGTTTCCATTCATGTTTTTATTTATACATTATGTTGGTAACTGTATTACAGAGGAACAGCAACGGGCTAAATGCCCGTCAAAACGAATTCAAAGCTCTGCTAACATAAAAACATAATTTCACCTGATATTATTCTTCTACAAGAAACCAGAATATCAACCAGAAAATCTATCCTGATTCAAAAAAGAAACTTCACATTCTTTCTTCAGGGCACTATAAAAGAACAAGAGATGGTAAGATGGTTAAATTGTTATCATTTCATTGCTGAGATCTGTGTGATGTACTAGATACACTGACAGTGCCATAATCAGTTCCATTAGGCTACACCGCCGTTCCAAAACATGGGTATACAGAATGTCAAGTCACAAGAATAAAAATGCGAAATTTCTCAGTTCAATATCGTGTATGGCCGCCCCGTGCATTCACCACTGCCAAACACCGTCTCCTCATCGACTGCCTGATGTTTGTGAACATGTGGTTGGGGATTCTGCGCCATTGCTCTTGCAAGGCAGCGCCAAGTTCCTGCAAATTCTGAGGTTGGTTCCTAAGACCACGAAGCCTTCTCCCAAGTGCATCCCAAACGTGCTCTATTGGATTAAGGTCAGGGGACCTCGATGGCCAGTCCATGACGTTGATTCCAGCGTTTTGAAGGAAATTTCGTGTCAACATCGCGGTATGCGGCCGAGCATTATCATGCTGGAACTGTAGACCTGGGCCATGAGCCGCCATGAAAGGAACGTGTTCAGGGGTGAGCACCTGGTCGCGGTAAGCAGCAGCTGTGACGGCGTCACTATTGGCCCACGATATGGACGTCGAGAATGGAGATTGGCAGCCCGCAACCGATTTCGAATGGTCTGTGAGGACAGTCGACCTCTAAACATCTCAGCCCTGGTTCGTGTAGCCGGCAGAAATCTGTCACGTAGGTGACGTAGGAGGATTTGACGGTCTTCTGCTCGTGACGTCACACGTGGACGACCCGACCTTGGGCGATCAGAAGTGGTGCCAGTTTGTTGTAGACGACCTCGCAAGTCATAAACAGTACGACGGCTGCATCCCATTGCTCTTGCGACGTCAATAACTGATCTTCCCGCTTGCAACATGCCAACGGCACGTTCACGTTGCACATTTGACAATCGTGGCATTTCAAGTACCGTTAGAACTGTGGTTTAAAAGTGTTTCTTCAATTCTTGAGGCCAATGCAAACACTCGCATATGAAGAAAACTTCGATGCGAAGATCACGTGATCGACTGCACGTGCAAAACCTGATTTGGCACTAACTTCATTTGCACGACGAATGGATGGGTTTGAGTGGGTTTTGCTAACATTTTTCTAGAGTCGAAAGATAGGGATCCCATTTCGGATACATAGATGTATCATCAGAGAAAAATTATTCATTATTTTTCAAATTACATTTTGTGAAGTTTCTTTTTTGACTCAGTATATATATTTTCCACACTAAAATGTCATCAGAAAAGATAAAACCACAAACATCAAAGGACAACCAAAGGGCGGACTCATCACTCTAAAGGTCACATGCAACGTAAAGCACAACTTGGCAGATTCTGATACCTTTCGGTATGGACTAAAATGTCATCAGAAAACGCGATGAAAAAACGCGCGAAATCGGAGTTCAAACATTCACTAATTTACTTGGGGAAAAGTGGTTTTAACTGCGTTTATATAATTTCATTTGTCTATACTCGGTAAAGGCACGTGTGGGCTATTTTTTTTCTAATGTTTTGTTGATATTTCACTGGCGTCACTTTATCTGTTTGACAGTAGATTACCGATTTAACTGTTTATAAATTTCATTTGTCTATTTACGTTCTTTTACCGAGTCACTTTTTCAGTTCGATACTTAAAAGCAATGTCATTAACGTTGACAGAATATAGATATGTCGTTGTCACAGACAAAACTCAGTGTCTGTTTTATTGACACCTATGTGTCTGCCTGCCTGTCTGCTAATGACAATATTCAATACACAACTTCAATCACTGACCACATGCACTTTGAACTTAACACCTATCAGGTTATATTCCATAAACAAAACGCATTGATTTATGGCCCGAGTTCGGTCTCTGTCACATTATGTAATTACACAGACAGGCAGGTGTGATACTTGTACACATGAAATGTTATGATGTCTGTTGATTGCAAAATGTTATATACAAAAAAATGAGCATGTACTTACAAAACCCAACATCTCTATATATACACACACAATGAGCCGTGAGGGCATCTGCAACTGAACCAGCCGTTACACCTGAGTGCACACCCAGCCGCTCTCACTGGGTTCCGTATTCCGGCTGCTTCGTTTCTTGGGAAGTAAACCCAAGTACAACATATTGCACTTTTGATTTGCGATTGTACCCTTATAATGTTGTTTATATGTTTTTTCATTATCAGCAATATATATAATATGTCATGAATAAGAGATAATTGTGTTTTAATTATGTTTGATGTTTTGGTTGCATGTGACCTTTACTTAAACAAGGCATCGACTACCATCAAATCGATATCAACTCAAAAGAAATAGAAAACAATTTTAGCTCACTCCCTCACTCACTCATGGTGTATATTTTTGTTGTTCTTGAAGTTTACAATAGTCTCTCATAACCCTAAATGGGTGGCTCACTTTTATTCTGTATTATAGCTGATATATGTCCTGTATTTTACAAGCGAGGTGAGACTCAAATAAACAACCTGTCTGTCTGTATTCCATTTTGCGAGCATACCACTCGCCAAGGCCAATGCATGTGAGAATAAGTAATATGTACCCAAACAGATAAAGCATTTCCAAAGGAATGGCATTAATTGTCACATTTTCCCTTAATTTCTCTTTATCATCTCTTTCCTCCTTGGCTTCATCATTTGCATTTTATCAATCTTGTAAATCCAATATCCCCTACTTTTTTAATAGTATATATAGGATGGGTCTGATCACTCTTATTTTCCTGCAAGATCGCATCTAAAAAGACTTCATTACATAATTTTAAATTGATCTCTCTGTTACGACCTCTAATTTTAGGTTAACATGGGTCCTCCCTTGGTTAAAGGTTTGTTCCCTCCGAAATGCAAGCGGTATAAACCCTAGTTTAAAAGATATGAGCCTCGACGGTTGGGCGGATTTCATGTGTTGACTGACAGTTTTGTTTTTTTATTCTTACTCATTTTCCATGTCCCTCATACATATAATTTATCTATAATTCATTTATTTTCCAGATAAATTTAAACCGTCCACAAGAATGCCGGGATTTATCATGTGACCCCCACGCTGATACATGAAGAAGATTCAAGCAAAGATTTACAGTTCGACACGCATCGGAGGTCTTGGCCTTTCGCAGGAAGTCTTTGCCCTTCACTGGAAGCCTTGGCTTTTCAGAGGAGGTCTTGCCTTTTCACAGGAGATCCTGACCTTTCAGACGAGGTCTTGGCCTTTACAGGAGATCCTGACCTTTCAGAGGATGCCTTGGCCTTTCACTGGAGGTTTTGGCCTTTCAGGTGAGGTCCTGGCCTTTCACAGGAGGTCTTGACCTTTCACATGAGATATTGGCCCTCAACAGGAGGTCTTGGCCTGTTATACTGATCTCAAACATGTCATTGGCCAGAAAGCTGGGGTTTTTTATATCACAAAAATTAAAGACATAACAAAAAACACATAATGAAACTTTTCTTCATGTTTGTAGTTTTGTCCATGTTGATTATGTGTTTGGTTTTAATTCTACATCAGGATATTCTGCTGCAAGAAAAGTATATTGTCAATCATTCTGAAATAAATAATTGGATCCAGGACCTCAACATTTCATCTGGAAATCTTAACACAACTGGACCAAGCTTCAACAACACGATGCTTCCTGATGAGGTCGTCCAGGACCTGTTTTCAAGATGGCGAACAACCACGTCACGTGACTACACTCTAACGGTGGCATTCCGTGGTCGTCTGGGAAACAATATGTTTGAATATGCCTCATTGCTAGGAATTGCTGTCAGTACAGGAAAACAGCCTCTTATTCCAAAATCAATAGAACTGAACATACTGTTTAATATATCTTTCATCGGGGACATGCGCAATCAGTCTTCGACTCGTGTTTTAGAGAGACAATATGGCGCTTATGACCGCAAGCTCCTTACACTGCCCGGTGGAAATGTTGAAGTCTTGGGCTATCTTCAATCATGGAAGTATTTCCACTGCATCAGAGCCTCGATAAGAAAAGAGTTCATGTTCAGACAAAAATACATCGATCTCAGTGGTCAGTGTTTTGAAAAATACACAAATAAGCATAAAAACCGAACTGTTATCGGGATTCACGTTCGACGCACAGATATGACTTCTGGAGGAAATAGAGGCTATGTGGCTGCCCCTTTGTCGTATATTAAAAAAGCCATTGCACATATGAATATAAAGTTTCACAACCCTCTGTTCCTTATAGCTACTGACGACAAAAATTGGTGCAGAAAATATGTTGTTTCCTCGGACATAATACTCATGGAAAATTCAGATCCCTTTGTAGACTTTGCGACCTTGACCTTGTGTGATCACATGATAATGACTGTGGGGACATTTGGATGGTGGGCTGCTTGGCTTGGAGACGGGCATGCTGTATATTACAGAGATTTTCCCAGGCCAGGATCGGGGTTAGATAGAGATCTCATAAAAGAAGACCACTTTCTGCCGCATTGGGTTCCTCTTGGTGCTTGATCATACTCATGTGAAGATCCGGGTTAGAATGCTTGTCTTAAGAAGCGACTAACGGGATCGGGTGGTCAGGCTTGCTGACTTGGTTGACACATGTCACCGTATCCCAATTACGTAGAACATTTGATCACTGGATTATCTGGTCCAGACTCGATTATTTATAGACCGACGTCATGTGGCTGGACTATTGTTGAGCGCGGCGTAAAACAACAACCAACCAACTTAAGTTTTCAAAGAAGTGAGATTAGTTTTGGTTCCGTGTTATGTCCCAGAAATTAACATGCTCAACGTTAAACTATATGCCAAATTTGCCTTTCATTTTACAAATGATGATCGACATTTTGTTCTGCAGTTGGAACATTTTACGGAGAACACAAACTTTTCAGTTACATTAAATGACTAATAAATATTTCATATTCTATAGGCATTATACAAAAATGTTTTGCTGTATTTAATTAGTGACGATACTTTGAACAACATGGTGCTGGTTTGTTTCAAAACCCTTGTTTTTTGCTGCTTTTGACAATGTTTCACTTCACTCAAACTCAACCAATATTGAATCTGTTGCTTCCCTGCATGTTCCAACACGTCGTTTAAATTGCCCATTAAGCACACAAAACGTTGCCTTCACCTTAGAGTATAAATGACCACACCATGTTTTAAACGTTCATATATGACCATCAAATTTTAGGGCGTTCCCATACTTTTTGTTTGTAGTATATATGACATTTCACGGATACGAGTTTAGTATTCTGTTTATTACTCTCCAACAGATAGAAACTGCCTACAGTGTGATGACTCTCAGTTTTCCACGAGTCAGGCAAGGTCTACTACCATTGTGACAGAGGTATTAGCATTATGACGTCATAACAGTGACCATTATAACATCACATGTCTAGCGGTATTACACTAGTGTAATATTGCCCTAAAAATATTACGCTGCAATATTTTCCACGGGCGAGTAATACGTCCTGCTAGCTTATGTACCCAGCAAACAAACTTGTTGATTTTTCATTGTAACAATGTCACCACAACAGATAACTGCAAACTGTGGTTTTCATATTAACAACATTCATGCTTGTTTAACACTAAATCATTATATATTTTATTACATGATTGACGACCGCCTGCGTGGTGTAGTGGTGAGAGCGTCCACACGGAGAGAGGAAGGTCGCGGGTTCGATCCCCGACCGCGTCATACCAAAAGACGTTAAAATATGGTACTTGTTGGTCCCTGCCTGGCGCTCGGCATTAATGGGTACAACAAGGACTGGTCGGCTCGGAGTCAGTATACTGTGTCTGAGTGGGGTATTCATGCTTCACTACGGCATGGTATCTCAGTGAGCTAGCACTATAAAACCAGCTTCAGTCTGGGCTAGTACAAGCAGCCGCACATACACATACACACGCATGCACGTCGTCATATCAGCGAAATATTCTACTAATCTGTTCATCTCAATTATTGATTTTAGTGTGTGTACATCAGTAGAATCTGATCATTTGCCCATTGTTTGTCAGCTAAAGTGTTTCTTCCAGAGGATTGGCGACTCGTAGCGTTATGATACAATTGCGATTAAGAAATATAAGTGGAGACCTTCCCATGCAGACAAGTTTGACTCAACTTTAAAAGTAAACTTAAAATCACTGCCTCTTGATGTCTTTCATGAGATTACTATGGATAATCCATCTCTAGGAGCAACAATGCTGACTGACATTATCCAAAAACTGCATCTTCTTGAGGTGAGGAGACGGGATAATCATAAACAGCAATGGTTTGATCAAGACTGTGAAAATTTAAAACAAGATAAGTATGAACTTTTGGATAGAACTCGCCTGTCTGGAGATTTTTCTTACCTTCAAGAGTTTCATAAAATTCGAAATAAATTCAGAGAACTCTGTCGTCACAAGAAGGAGGAATATACAATAGCAATAACCAACTCTATATTATAGGATTTTTCTTCTGGTAAAAGGGTCAAATCTGTTTGGTCTCATTTTAGTAGCGCTTCATGTAAATCTGTAGCATCAGTTGACTGTTTGTCATTGGTTGAATATTTTAAAGATGTATTAAATATTCAAGATATCATATTGGTGAAGATTTTTTTCGCCTTTACAAAGGATTTCATTGTAAATCATGATGTGCAAGAATCCGTCTGTGGAATCTGTAATGATGATGATACCAAACATACTGTGAATAGGGACATAAGTATTGAAGAGGTGGCGTTTGCTCTTGGTAGTTACGACCTAATAAAAGTCCTGGTCCAGATGGTATTCCACCTGAGATGTTTAAAGTTAACAAAATTGTTTTGCAGTCATATTTATGTACCTCGTTTAATGACGGTTTTAGGTCAGGTCAATTTCAAGATCAGTGTTCACGTAGTATTATATTTCCATTGTATACAAAAGGAAGCGTCCATGATGTAAATAATTATCGTGGTATCTCTCTTATGGATATTTGTGGCAAAGCTTTTACTTCCATTTTGAACAGGCGTTTGAAAGAGGTTGTTGACTGTTGGATCTGTACCCTGAGTGTCAAGGTGGCTTCCGTAAAGGCTATTCTACGGTTGATAACATTTTTACACTCCAAAGTGTTATACAGAAGCAGGAGGTAGATTTTATTGTTTATTTGTTGATTTCCGTAAGGCGTTCAATTCAGTTAATAGAGATCTTCTTTGGTTTTTGTTCTGTTATCTAATAGTGTCCATGGTTCTATGTTCAATATCATTAGAGATATGCATTCAAAGACAAAGGCTAGTGTTAAGCTAAGCACTTTAAATGTTTCGGAATATTTTGATTCTTTGAGTGGGGTTCGGCAAGGTTGTATTTTAAGTCCTCTTCTATTTCCGTTGTTTGTTAACCAGTTGTATACGGAAATAATTACTTGTGGTGACAGGAGAGTATTTATTGATCCAGAGTTTATGGAATTGTATTTGCTATTGTATGCAGATGATTTATGTTTGTTTGCAGATTCTGCCATTAGTTTTCAGAGGAAGATCAATGTATTACTACAGTTTTGTAAAAAAAGGGGCTTGTCTGTAAATTTTCAGAAAACAGAGGTCCTAATCTTTTTAAATAGTGGTAAATTAAGGCGGTATGAATCTTGGTACTCTGGTGATCAGAAGTTAAACGTTTCTACATATTATTATTTGGGTTTATTGTTTTCAAATAGACTTTCATGGTCTAAATCGGTTCAAAATCTAGTAAATAAAGCAAATAACGCCTTGTGCTCAGTTAAGGGTTTTGGTAGGAGACTTAAAAATATTTCTCCAACTATTTTGTTCAAAATCTTTGGCTTACAGATAAAGCCGATATTTTTGTATGCTTCGGAAATATGGGGTTTTCGGAAATGGCATGTTATTGAACAGTTTCAGATTAGATTTTGTAAGTATGTGTTGGGTGTAAGTTATAAATGCTCTAACGCGGCTGTTTGGCGGAATGTGGTAGAAATTATATCTATGTTGATAGTTTATTACGTGTTATGAAGTATTGGTTCAAACTTTTACGCTTACCAAAGGATAGAAATCCAAAGAGGTGCTATATTATGTTGCACAATTTAGACAAAGTTGGTAGGAAAACGTGGGTATATATTTTCCGAAATACTTTGTTCAATTATGGTTTTGGTTTTGTGTGGGAAGCTCAAGGAGTTGGCAACCAGGAACAGTTTTTGAAAGATTTTCATGTAAGAGTTGGTGATTGTCAAAAGCAATTCATATTTTCAGAAATGCACAAATGTTCATCGCTTGAGGTCTATTCCAGTATCAAAAATGTATTTTGCACTGACCCATATTTATCTTTATTGAAATCTAAAGATGCGAGGCGTCGAATAACAATGTTACGAATCGGTGCACTTCCAAGGCACCAAATACTTTGTAATATGTGTAATGATAATCTTGAAGAAAATGAATGTCATTTCCTATTTGAATGTAAAGTTTATCATGATTTTCGCTGTAAGTATTTTAAAGCATTACCAAATTCCATAGATCAGCAATACTTTCTGAACACATTATCCTGTACCAAATTTTCAACACTAACAAATTGTTCTTACATTAAGGAAGCATTGTCATTGCGTTCTTTATTCATATGAATCTGATTGTCAATTGCCACTACCTGATAATTACACGTTTATTTGTATTGTACGTGGGCCAAAGGCCTTGTTACGAAATAAACTTGATTGATTGATTGATTTATTGACAAGCTCATGAAGAGAAGAAACGAGTTCGTCATTTCTGTAATTTCATAGGCCATCGAGCCGTTGTTCAAAGAGATCATGCCCGTGATGATCTGTGTTAGAACTAGTCTTCAGGAACCCAAGTTTTTCGAAAGAGGTGACTAACGGGATCGGGTGGTCAGTCTCGCTGACTTAGATGGCACATGTCATCGTATCCCCATTGCGTAGGAAGACGCTCACTGGATTGTAGGGTCAAGACTAGGTTATTTGCAGACCGCTGCCATATAGCTGAAATACTGCTGAGTGCAGCGTTTAACAAGACATCAACCAATCCAATGGGGGCGATGTGATTGCAGTGGTATTATAAACTCTGTCAAAAAAGAAACGCAACCCCTGTATTTTAGAGATTTTGATCTGAAGTTTTAGGACGACACAGCATTTTTATTATTTAAGACAGAAGTCTGAAATTTGGCAGAATAATAACCCAGATAGGCATGTTTAAAATTGTCATTTCAAAAGTCATCTCACAGACACCAGTTTGTCACCAGGGGGGCGTCTTTCTCAGTATCTCGTATGAGCACCACGCGCTGCAATCACTGCACGGCATCTCCTTGGACAAGAACGGATAAGACGCCGGATTCTTTCCTGGGGAATGGCTCTCCACTCCTCCTGCAGTGCAACGGCGAGCTGTTGCAGCGTCTGTGGCGGCGGCTGACGTTGACGTACCAGAGTATCCCACAGGTGTTCAATAGGGTTGAGGTCTGGTGATTTAGAGGGTCATGGCAAGACATTGACGTTGGAATTCTGCAGAAAGTTCATTGTTGCACGTGCAGTATGA